GAGAAGATGTTCTTTGTTTGGTTTTCTAGTGTCTTTTAAAAGTAACATCATATTTGTACACGATCATGAGCCATGTTAGCTATTCATACGAATAGTTTACGTAAATTAATAATGAAAAAAGTAATAATAAAGTTAAGTTTACCTGTTATTAACGTGTGCAGCTTTAATTAATGAATTTCATGAACAATTCGATACTAAAATAGTTTTAAAATCAATCATTCAACGTTTCACTTTGAATGCTATATACTGATTAAATTTAATGGTGACAATTGATAAGAGATTCTATGACTCAATTAAGTACTTATTACTTGAAATTAATTTAAATACGAAGCCAGTTAAAAATCTCGATACACCAAATACGGAGACAAAGGTTTACAATATCGCCAAGGAAAGATAGTTTAAAGTATTTAATAAATAAAATTATGTTCAGCTGTTTGCGTATTCGCAAAACCTATAAATAAAATCAATGCCTAGGAGCAGGAAGGCTAAAAACCCTAAGAGCAGGAAGACTCATCGTGAGAACTCGTAGTAACGAATTACCGTAAAGTTTACATTCAAAGGCTGATGTTTATCTTTAGAACAAATAAAAGGCAGAGAGCACAAGACGGGGCTCTCGAGGAGTTTCACCCCGAGAACTTCACTAGCTTAATGTTTGAAATTATTTGTGCGTTCTTGGGCCTTATATATGATAACCGTCACGTTAGTTTAGGGACGAATATAATAAGACAATAATATGAATGTTTTTTTTTTGCCATTGTAGGCAGACGAGCATACGGCCCACTTGATGGTGAGTGGTTACCGTCGCCCATGGACTTCAGCAATGCCAGGGGCAGAGCCAAGCCGCTGCCTACCGCTTAATACTCTCCACAAGCCTCGTTTGAAGAAGGACATGTCATAGCGCTCGGGAAACACCGTGGAGGTGAGCTCATTCCATAGCCGGATGGTACGTGGCAAAAAAGATCTCTGGAAACGCACTGTGGATGACCGCAGTGGCTACAGGCAGTGTGGATGAACTCTACTCCGGTGGCGGGCGGTGCGATGTTAAAAACGAGATGTCGGTATCATCTCGACCAATTCCTCAGAGCACACAGAATGTTTTTAAGCTACTTTATTGTGTTTCTTGCTTAGTATAGCGAAGTACAGTGTAACTAGTTTGAAAACTAAAAAATAAACACGCATTTTGATAATCAATCGAATTAAATATACAAAATATAAATTATATTTTTTATCGTGTTTTGTGTAAAGTAGCAAAATTATCATTATACTAGCTAACCCGGCAGACTTCGTAGTGCCTCAATCGATAAATAAAATATCTAAACTTTTGTATAAAATCAACTTAAAACAAACAAAAGTAATCCGTCCGACGGGGGACACGTCAAAGGGAAAACATAATTGTTATTTTTATTTAATTCCGAGCATTTTCATATTTATTTACATTTTCAATTTTTTCTGGACCTCCACAAATAATTCAAGACCAAAATTAGCCAAATCGGTCCAGCCGTTCTCGAGTTTTAGCGAGACTAACGAACAGCAATTCATTTTTATATATAATATAGACTATCTCAGTCTTTACAGTACAACGGCTGCCTCACCTTTCAAACCGAAACGCATTACTGCTTCACGGCAGAAATAGCCGTGCGGACTCACAAGACGTTCTACCAGTACAAAAGAAAAAATTTGCCTATAAGATCCGGTAGCCACTAATATCCAGGCGGGCTGTCGGCGCGTTCATGCGTCTGAGTATCAAAATACGCCAAGCCAGAGCTTGGTGCATCGATGAATTAGGTTAAATAGATTGAACCAAAGATATTTCAAATAATCTTAGATTCGGAATCGCATATTTACAGATAGTGCCAGTAAGGGTCTTCTAATCTGCCGATAAAGGCATCCTGACTACAGATCATAAAACTATTAGATCTGTCTTCAATTTTTATTAGAGAAAATTGTATTGCTACGCCGACAAGAGTAACGCCATCTACCGTCGAATAGCAGAAACGAAAGAACTAGTAATACCGAGAACGATCGAGAAGTACAACGCCATCTATTATCAAATAGTGGAAACAAATGTCGAAACTACTCGACCTGCCAGGAATGTTCTCGATAATTCTAGGGATGTCGTATCGACTATAAAAGCGTTGCAGTGATGACACCAAGGCAGCTAGTAATCGGATCTACGCGAAGCGAAACAGCGAAGTGAATAATAATTACGAATTGTAAAGTGCTCTTTAAGTGTTCTAAGTGCTTAATAGAGTTTTAGTTCGTATTTCGATGAAAGTTTTATTCATCCCGAGCCCCAGCGTGTAACAGTATTTTAGATTTTTGTTTATTGCGTTCCATAGATCTGATTCAGCCGGAACTGTGAGAGTAACATTACTAGATGAACAACGTACCTACCGCAGAAAATATAAGTAAAAAAACTTTATGTGATTCGGTTAATCTCACCCATGGCTTGTCTTAGTAAAGTTATGCTAGGTATATGAGCAGTGTTAATTAAGTAACTTGAATATAGGTTAACTGTTTACGGTTGGCAGTGAGTTTCTAATTTATTGATATTGGTATTGGCACTGATTGGTATGGGCGCTTATTGATATTGGCATGGGCGGTTATTGGTATGGGCGAAAAAAATAGACATTTATAACTATTTTTACGGTTTGACTGCCAATCTATTATTTTCTAAAATGATTTTAAGAACATAATAGATTCTAGAAAAAAAGAATCCAGGCGTCATCGCCTGGATTTTTTTTTATAATTTTGTTTTTCTTATATTTCCAATATTTTTTAAGTAATATAATAAATATAATAATTTTCTCTTTTTTAGCTTTAGCTAGTTACAAGTATGTGTGTAATTGGTGAATTAAAAAAAAATTAAACTTTTTTAAATTTATGTACGTACATATATCACGCATCTAAACATCAATGAGTCTGTAGTAAAACTTTACAAGGAAATTGATAATGCGATCGGCGTATAGCACACCAAATTTAAAAGTACATGCGTGAATCATTCGTCAACGATATGTGACATGTATCCATAATGTGCTGTGAAATTGTGAGCTGCTGTACTTAATCTAAGTGAACATGTTTACTAATCGAGGTATTAATATAAAATATATTTCTTCAGATTCATTTTGAGTTTAGTTTGAAATAAAAATTGTTTTTCTATCGACGCTAGTGTGTGTACAAAAATTAGTTTGTACCTTTGTTTGTGTGTGTTTTTATATCTTTAACATACTTAAAATTAATCTCAGGAGGTTTTCGATAGATAGGCAATGAAAATTTTACCGCGATTCTGTCAGGCGTGTGAAGGATTGTCCTTTAGGCAAACTGAGACTTGAAACTCATGTCTCAAGCTGGATGAGGGCGTTCACGTGTGACGTCCATGGTCTCCAGTAGCCATAACAATGAGGTACAAACGCATATTCCATAATCTAATTTATTAAGTTTGTTGGGACTTTCTTTTCCTTATTTCCTCAATCCGCCATCCACGCCATCTATTGACACTACAATAAAAACTACGGGTGAAAAAATGGCGCGAAGAGTGTGTAAAAATTAAAACACGGTGCCGGTGCAAAAACGATAAAATTGTGATTTGTTCTTCGATCAACAATGTTGATCGAAGGATTTGTTGATCAATCAGCACATAAAACTCTCGTCAAGGAGAAAATAGAATAGTGCATCAACGATCTACGGAGTAAGTCCTAAAATTTATCCTTTTCCCAGTCCCAAATATATTTAAATTCAAAACAATGTTCACGTTTTAATCTTATCTCCTAGCTATAGTGGATATTATTTGTAGAGCATATTGACCCTGTTTGTTGATGGTATTTTTATAAACTTGCCAACGAAGGCAGACAGGTCATTACGTGGTGCTAATTCTTAGAATGTCAAGAGCAGAACACTGAGTAGCTGAGAGCTATTAACTTTTGAAGTCTAATTTACCAAGTAATATTTTTTCTAAAGGCGTTGTTGACATAGATATTGTTGATATAAGTATTCTTGACATGAGTATCGAAGACATTGCTATTTTTGCCAAATGTATTTGATATTGTTGTTCATATATTTAGTTATTGTTATCATACGTATTGTTGACATAGATTTTTTCGTCCAAAAATTATTTTTATTCACCCTGAATGCGATCTAAAGTTGCAAAGCGCGGTCGTTTGGCGGTGGATAACATGCCCTTCTTGCAAGCTGGTTTGTTCCACCTGGATCACCGACCGTGGCTGGACAGGTCTTGACTGCGTCAGGACGCAGAATCTGTCTGGTATCTTTAAAGTGACCATAGATTCAGTCGTAATGTTGACCGCTGTAGCCTCCTTCCGTTTCTGCTGGTCTTCCTTCCTCACGGGGCTGGAAGGCTCGGTCAAAAAGTGCAGAGAAGGCTTTTTTGCGATCAGTCCTAATTTGGTAAAGAATGGTCCGTCCTAACCTGCTCAGGCGTTCTCGTGAAAAATTCGCTCCTACGTCCAGCAAAACACCAAGATAGAGTTTATGATTGATCAAAGTCAAAATGATTTTATTATAGACTAGTGTAACTCAGTCATATACTAGCATGACTATAAATTATTGTATGAAAGGCGTTGATTTCTGGAAACTGTTCGCGCGTCACCATTATCCATTACAATTGAATGAATTGTTTAGGATCGTACAAATTTCCCGCCTAAATGCCCGTTGTTATTCATTATTCGGCGGGAAATTAGAATAAGTTTTTCGAACGTTATTTTCTTTAGAACAAAATGATCTTAATTATCGAATTAAAGTACAATATAAACAATTTTTTTTGTTCCAAAATCTATCAATTCATTTTTATTATTCCGTTCTTGATGACTATGGTCAAAAATGATGTAGGTACACAATTCTATTGTTTTGCAAGTGGCTCGTAAAAATTTAACCTTGTACAAGTTTATTCATCGTGTTAACACAGTGATGCTATTGTCGGTTGTGCGCTGTCTTCGTGCGGCATTCGATCACCAGTTGACCGGTTAGCTCAGTAGATGTTGTGTTCGGAAAATAAAATTGTGTATTCTTTGTTATGTGTACGAAGAAAATCATATCTGCACTGTTCAAAGGTAAGTTAGATAGCGTAAATATTGTAATCGTATTTACTATTGTTTGGTACAAGCGAACCAGCTCAAGGCGTTTGAGGTTGAGGACACTGTAACGTGAGGTCTGTGGACCGTTGAGACATGAGCTCAAAGGCATGTTAAGCTATTATAAGTGTAGTCGAATCGGGTTATATATTAAAATCCTCTTGTGATACTTATTACGTATCTAAGATAGTTTCTCGAACGGCTTCGAAGGTTTGGCGGCATAAATAGGCAGGGTGATGGTTGAGTCATAAGACGCCGTACCACCAGTAAATAGGCAAATTATGTTCGCTTACGAGAAGCTGAAATAAATGCCCTTATGCTAACAGCGAATAGGTAGGGGCAAAAAAAAGCAAATTTTAATTAATGCGACTATGATTGGATTTGTTTTATTGGAAACATTATAAGTATTAGCAGAATCGGTACCCGCCTGCGGGCTTCGAACACCGGTACTATCGCATCACTCTATATGCGCCTAAAGGATAGGATAGGATAAGACGCCTGGTATATTCATCTATCCTAAATTATAAGACGCCGAATCCTCTCCTCTCTTGCTTTTTTTTGTCTTTAAATTTTTTAATGTGACTCCAATATTGCATCACTTTATTCATTATATATCATTATTTAAAGCAAAATTTATATTAATGATAGAAGACGGTCAACACGATACAAGGAGTAGAAGCTTATGTACGGTGCTAATACATGATACTTAACGGTACAGCGGCTTGGCTCTGTCCCTGGCATTGCTGAAGTCCATGGGCGACGTTAACCACTCACCATCAGGTTGGCCGTATGCTCGTCTGCCTACAAGGCCAATAAAACAAAAAAAATCATAGTTATTTTTATCACGCCGGTAAAACTTTAGTTTAAGAGCCATTTAACGCTAAATTAAATCTAGAACAACGTACAAAAGCGTTATCAATTAATTTGATAAGAGATAACGCGATCCGTGTAGTGTGATCGGAACGTAATACAAGAACGAGTCACGTGCACACATTCCGGTGTTTTGTTTACGATTAATTTTATTTACTACTAAGTAGCTGTACCCGTTCGCTTCGCTGGGCATTTAAAACATCATTATTTCTCACCCCCACAAAGATTCTCATCATCAACGCCCCCGCAACTGGTGTAGGGAGTCCAACATATAGATATTAGCCTATCCATTAAGTACATGTATTTTCTACATGGATACCAAGTTTCAAGTCAATCGGATGCACGGTTCAGTAGTTATAACGGAACATCCGTAAAAACCACTGTAGGTTTATATATTAGTATAGATATAGATTATATCGACATTTCGCTTAGCAGGCGATATTTAACTTTGTAATTAAAGGTGCGTTTTATTTGGTATTAACATCTACAGTTCGTTTTTTTTTTTTTTCCTACCTATGCTGATAGCTTTGAGAGGCTATTTCCGCTTCGCCCTAACGTTTGTAGGTGAGCTCACGGGGCTCAAACCTGACTACGATGCTAACACGAACCCTAGCAAGAGCCGTGCTTCGCAGAATCTACCACCGGATCGGAAACGCGACCCACTGAGAAGATCCGGCGAGAAACTCAGTGGGCTGTGTCTGAGAGTTAATTTGCTCGTCGAGCCCTTCGTCGCAAGCGACGGGTTCGACGAGAACGGTGACCGGTGCTTGAAGTACCTAAAAGCACCGTTAGTGGATCGGNCATAACGCTAAATTTTACCTCCCACTTCATTTACGTAGAAAGTGAAAATATTTTGAAACATTCTTTATTGCTGCTTCACTTGTATTAGCCTATAAGCTTCCTCAATAAATGGGCTATCTGACACTGAAAGAATTTTTCAAATCGGACCAGTAGTTCCTGAGATTAGCGCGTTCAAACAAAACAAACTCTTCAGCTTTATAATATTAGTATAGATTTGCAATACAACTTCAAACGCTATCAATAAATGGTAAATAGCAAAAATCTTTTAATGACGGTATTTTTTTTTATTTACAACATCAGATTTTACAACATCCGTGAAACAAGGATCTTTGCCCAAATTAATTACGCGAAAATCCGTTCAGTAGTTCCGGATTTAATTAAACAGGCAGACATTTTATAGTCAATTTTCTTTGCTCTCCGACTTACAAACACATCGGATTCTACTGTTTCATTAAATGTTGTGAACTTAAAAATCGAGTTACGTCCTTTTCTCCTCAGTAGTTAAATCTAATCAATCAATATCGCCTAGGGCTTCTGAAATAAGAACTCTGAGCTAACATTTTGTGTTTTCGTTCCAATCTATCTATCTATCTATCTATATATATAAAAGTGAATTGCTGTTCGTTAGTCTCGCTAAAACTCGAGAACGGCTGGACCGATTTGGCTAATTTTGGTCTTGAATTATTTGTGGAAGTCCAGAGAAGGTTTAAAAGGTAGATAAATATGAAAATGCTTGAAATTAAATAAAAATAACAATTTTGTTTTTCCTTTGATGTGTCCCCCGTCGGACGGATTCCTTTTGTTTGTTTTAAGTTTATTTTATACAAAAGTTTAGGTCTTTTATTTATCGATTGAGGCATTTCGAAGTCTGCCGGGTCAGCTAGTTAGTCAATAAATATTTAGAATAAGATATATGAGTCGACTATTATCAAAGCCGGCAATCTGACTTTTGGACAATTATTGGTAAATCAGAAAAACGAATTATTGACTTTGTATTCCGTTAGCAGTCACAAAACTCTTCGGAACGACATCTTAGATAAATAACAGGTTAACTATTAACCTTTATTTAATGCAGGTTTTGAACCGTATTCTTTGAAGGAGACGATTATATTCAAATCAATCTGTATTGACATATCAATAACATTTTTTTGTCCAAATGCACAGATTGCCACCTTTGATAATAGACGACTCATATTGTCATTGGTATCATCGAGGCACGCTTGTCAATGTTAGCGCTTATTAATTTTGGTTTTATTNGTTAACTATTAACCTTTATTTAATGCAGGTTTTGAACCGTATTCTTTGAAGGAGACGATTATATTCAAATCAATCTGTATTGACATATCAATAACATTTTTTTGTCCAAATGCACAGATTGCCACCTTTGATAATAGACGACTCATATTGTCATTGGTATCATCGAGGCACGCTTGTCAATGTTAGCGCTTATTAATTTTGATTTTATTCCAGATATAGAGAATGGTCCTGATGATGAAGAGGCGCAGGACAATCTTCAGCCTCTGCTCGGAGTCGGGGTGGACGGTCGCGTGGCCAGGCAGCGGCCAGCTCGACCCAGGAACTTGGGTCTTGCTGATGCTATGTCGTGAGTATTCTGCTGTTTGTTTTATTAGGGTATTGGAGTAGTTGATAGTAACCTCAACTTCGATAAAGCGGTACGACACGAGAACCCTCTCATCGTGGCCGCCGGTAACTACATTCCCGATTCTGCGGGCAGAATGGAAAGCAGTCGACGTCGCCCAAAACACGTCATCCTCCCGATCCATTAACGGTGCTTTTAGGTACCTCAAGCACCGGTCATCGTTTTCGTCGAATCCGTCGTTTGCGACGAAGGGCTCGACGAGTAAATTAACCCACAGACACAGCCCACTGAGTTTCTCGCCGGATCTTCTCATTGGGTCGCGTTTCCGATGCGGTAGTAGATTTTGCGAATCAACAATTATCGAAAACATTTCCGGTAGGATGAGTCGTTTCGAGTGTTTCCGCTATTTGATAATAGATGGCGTTACACTTCTCGAGCGTTCTCGATATTACTAGTTCTTTTGATATTCGTTCCTACATATATACATTGACTATTTGACTCGGATAAAATTGCGTGGCACGTTTAGCAAGCTATAAAATGTGTAATAAAGATTTACAGTCTCAACTTTGTATTGAAAAGCCTTCAATGAACCGTCACATTCCTTTAACCATAGGAACCCGGCCCGTTCGCTTCCGAAGCTAACGCTTCCTGACATGACGCCCTCATCGGTGTCTTCGACTGTGAATAACACTCCACAAGACACCGGCAGCACCATGTCCAAGCCTTGGAGACGCAGCGACAGAAGACTGAGGAGACTCAACACCGAATTGCTTGAGGCCATTGATAACCACAATGTAGAGGAAGTCGAAAGGTTTTCAATTTTTGCAATCTATACTGATATTATAAAGAGGAAAGATTTTTTTGTTTGTATTGAATAGGCTCCGAAACTACGGAACCGATTTGAAAAATTCTTTCACAATTTGGAAGCTACACTATTCCTGAGTGACATAGACTACAATCTTTTTTGAAAAAAAATAGGGATCCTTACTAAAACTCCAATAATGTAACCCAAGGTGTAAAAAATTACCTAAAATATTCTTCACATCGCGTGCCCTGCGAAAACTATTGATGATAGAATAAAATAATGTACTACGACTTTTTAGAACATATTATTATTTACAAAAAGTGTCGCGACAGCATATGTCTGACTATTATAGTTATGCCGAAAAACAACGTCAAATATCATTGAAGTTTTTGTTAAAGACCTGAGCGAAGCCGGAGCGGGCTGCTAGTATATACTTAGTCTGGCCATAAATACTGTTACAAAGGAAAACAAAAAAAATCCATGGCAAATAACATTTATTACTTTTACCTAGAGAGGCCTACATTCAGCAGTGGAGAGATACAGGCTAATGATATAAGATATTTTAAATTGACAGCCGAGAACATTTCGATATTCTTTCAACTTTCAGATTACTCAACTCTGGAGCCAATCCGAATGCCACATGCCGTCTCGATTTGGTGTCTGCGTGCCACATGGCAGCTCTGACCGGAGGGGAAGCTTTAACGCTGCTCATAAAGTTCGGTGCGGAAAAGCTCAGAGTCGACAGGGTAGGAAGAACGCCCCTGCATCTCGCCACATGGGCTGGAAATGCCAGACAGGTGGCTATCCTGCTGGAGTTCCCTGAAGGTACGGACATGTGTTTTTAGTTAAATCGAGCTACCCTGAATGGTACCACGGCTCTGTCTATTTTTATCGCGACGCAATCGTTTAGTCCAGTATCAAGAGATAGACGTGCTCTGCTGGGAGAATGTTGTGATAGCCGTCAGTCTGCCCCCATAGCAAAGAAAAGAAAAACGTTAAAAGAAACCATTTAATAAAACAGCAATTTGTTAAATAAAATCAAAAGTTATCAAGGCATCGCGCAGTTTTTAAGGCATAGCCTAGTGATGTCTTAAGAAACATATTACGCTCTCCGCATGACTACAATAAGGTGGAACTCGGTATCGGGTACAACCACGGCTTCTGTCTTCTTTGTCACCAATCTCAGAACCACCAGCTCGTCGGTAACGTCCTGAAAGCAATTACTTTGATATTGGGAATCGAGGGACCGCGGACCACATGGCTGGTGGATTATCGTTGCGATATCGCTGGGCTCTGATAACCATTTAAAACCGTGGTACGGTAGCTAGTCTGCCCCCAGTGAAGCACACTAAAATGTAGTCAGTAATAAACTAACAACTTCTTTTAAAGCGTTAGAAGCGTGATGCGAAAGACTTCTCATGTGAGTTGAGTACGTGGCCGCAGTCAAGCTGTCCAATGTGGTCGTCTCCGGGAAGCCTGAAACGATAATCTCAACGTTAGAGCCATTGGGCAGGGTGTGCACATAAATCGAACGGATTCATTCAAATTGTAAACCTTGAAAATGCGAAATCAATGCGATAATTTTTCGTAAAAGATCTCATGAAATTAATTGCTCTAAAAACTGTGGTCTGGGGAACACCAGCGTTGATACACGAATCTTTATTAAAAATTAGTCGAATCTGGCCTGATTTGCTGACGGATCTTTGATTTGATTTTAATCTGATTGCTATGAAACTCAGGGTCACTCGCTTGGCCAATCTGAAGAATCCCTAAAAAATTCTACGCAATCGGTCTAGCCTTTTCGGAGTCTTTTACAAACTGGTCCAGGTGGAGCCCCAGGGGTCCACGGGAGACGCAATGGAGATCTACGTTGGCGTGCCAAAAAAGAGGTCCACGAAAATTTTATTTGCTTTCTTTGTAAATTATAACAGTGTAATAATTACATTTTCCTTTTATTTTTACCATAGGGGGTTTTCTTAATGTGATAAGTTTTCGCTATTTGATTGATTTTTCGTGCCCTGTTTTTTTAGTAAGTTCACGTTCTTTTTGTCCAGTTTTGGGTAAAAAGAAATGAACTGTTTTTTTTAGTAACTACACCCTTTTTGTCCAGTTTTGGGTAGAAATAGCGGGCTGATGGTTATCTTAGGTCTAAAGATCCGTAGGTGCTGACATAACGAGATGAACCTTGTATGCTCGTCCATAAAGTAAACGTCATCATCATCATCATCATTAGCCCACAGTCGTCCACTGCTGTACATAGGCCTCTCCCAATCCACACCACTGAGCCCGGTCTACGGCTCTCCTCATCCACTTCTTGCCGGCCACCGTTCGGAGGTCATCGCACCACCTAGCCAGGGGGCGTCCGACATTATAGCAGGGCGACCGGGAACCAGGGGCCATCGTTTTTGTGTGTCTTTCATTGAGGAAGAAAGAAGAATTCGATAAAGTAGAAGAAAAATAATAATAATCATAATTAAGAATTGACTTCGACCTTCACAATTGACAATGATGGTGCCGACAACATTTGCCCTAGCCAGGGGGCGTCCGACATTATAGCAGGGCGACCGGGAACCAGGGGCCATCGTTTTTGTGTGTCTTTCATTGAGGAAGAAAGAAGAATTCGATAAAGTAGAAGAAAAATAATAATAATCATAATTAAGAATTGACTTCGACCTTCACAATTGACAATGATGGTGCCGACAACATTTGCGTTTTCATTTATCCTGTTCATAGTTTTTGTCGCGCCGGGACCCTGAAAGATTTATCTTTGAGACTATATTACTATAAGACACCATATGTGACTCACACATTCCTCTTCCCCTAAAAGGGAAGATATATAAGACCTTAATAAGGCCTGCCATCTTGTATGGATCAGCTTGTTGGACAACAAAAGTGGCGGACGAAAGGCTATTGCATGCAGCAGAGATGCGAATATTGCGATGGATGTGTGGAGTAACGAGAATGGATAGAATACGGAATAAATATATTAGAGGAAGTTTGAAAGTGGCACCTGTGACAGAGAAGCTGAGAAGTGCGCGTCTGGGATGGTATGGACATGTGATGAGGCGGAATGAAAATGAGGTTGGTAAGAGAGTGTTAACTATGAATGTGGAAAGATATAGAGGAAGAGGTAAACCTAAGAAGAAATGGATGGATTGCGTGAAAGACGATATGGGTAAGAGGGGAGTGAGCGAAGAAATAGTATATGATAGAAGTTTATGGAAGGAGAAAACATATTGCGCCGACCCCAGGTGATTGGGAGAAGGGCAGGATAATTAATGATGACTATATTACTATAAGACAAAAAATTAAGAAGAATCACTTATCTTTGATGAAAAGGTCGACCGAAGAAGACATCGATGGAGTGTGTGAATGATAATATGAGAGACAGAGGATTGAGTGTTGAGATGATAGAGGGGAATGGGAAAGAAAAAACAAAGAAGAAGAAGAAGACCGTGCCTTTGTTTCTACGTACTTTCAAGCTTTGAACACCCAAACAAATGGATTTTCGGAGTCACACGACATGTATTACTTTAAATTTGAGATGAAATGGTGTAGCTGCATTTGGTCGGTGTTGTTTAGCGACAGTGGTAGCATTTCAACCCATGGGGGGCAACCTCGTCTGTCTTCAGAAGCATAGTGTCCAACCATGTATATGATCACAACTCCGTGGTGTGATTCATGTGGATAAATTTATATTTCTAGTTTATAAGATTTCTAAAATTATTGATATTAGAAAATATATCGTGGAATTTCGTGTCCATTCATTCAAACAAATTCCTAATGTTCCGAATACTTTACACTTTTCGTGGTCGACACAGGAAGCTGTATTAAATTGATAGTATTAGTGTTACTCTGATAGATTTAATCTGTTTGCGACCCGACAATTAACAATATATTAGTTTAGAAGAAGGTTCAGTGTTGTTGTTCGTAATATTATGATAACATATAGTGTTATTACCATGAAATTCTGCGCGATTTCCATTATTTTTAACTATCTTTGTGTCCACACTGTTATTCAAGCGAAACTATGTGACTAAAGTCAATATCTATCAAAGAATCTATGCAAGAAGAGTACCAGTTTGAAAAATCAATAAAAAGGTTGAATGCCAATTTGTTACGATTGTTAAAATCATTAAACCAATATTTTAGAAGTTTATCATTAGATAGATTTAAATTTAGATTATTAAATCTATTAATAATATAATAATATACATTAAAAATATCATAATATTAATAACAAATATAAATAATAATAATTTAAAAATAAATAACTTAAAAATGAATGGCTATTGTGCAATGCATTAAAATAATAAAAAAAAAGTTTATTAAATCTTAAAAGCCTTATAAAATTTAAATAGCTCATATTTTTGTTTGAAATCTTTAACAATGATCGCTACTATTGAACCTCAGCGATTTTGAGCATTGAGGGTTATCACATAAGTTTCAAAAATGGCATCCTCAGTTGTTGTTCACCTACAGATATGCAGGAGCGGGTGGAAAGCGAGAGTATGTCGTCTGAAACAGAAGAAGACGTTCGGAAGCTGTGTCCTTTGATTAAAGAGATGACAGACGTGAGATGCGACCTGGGCGAGGTGAACGTGCTGTTGCCTAAGACTTGGAAGGACAACATCGACCATGACTGCAAGGACATCAGAGGAACTGTAAGGGTTTTGTTCTAAACTAGAAAGTGTGCTTAGTGCCAGATTTTTCCTGGGTGATGATGGGACAAAGGGTCCATGTACTGGTGATATGCTGCGCAATTGATTTTTATTAAATTGTGACATTTAATATAAGTGTACATTTCAATTAGCTTGGTGTATTCCTTCTTCTGCTTCTGTTGTCTCTTGCTTGCTGATTGTTTTTATTTTTTTTATTTTTTGTTTCCCTGTTTTTGTTTCTTTCGTGTTTTAACACGTTTGTATTGGCCTTTAATTCGCATTTTGTTTCTATTTTTATTTATTTATTGGGTACAAACATGTTATACACCAGCACAAAATATATCATATACATTGAGCTAACACTAAATGCTAACACAACTATAGATAATTCAGGTAATACAGGTAATTATATTATGTTGAGTTGGCTATTGGTTCTCCTTGTAATAAATAAATAAAACGCCCGTTAAAATAGTAAACCAATCGATTTACAGCTATGCCACAGGAAGTGCGCAAATTTTCGGCACAGGACTTGGTCTGAATATTTTGGGAAATCCTCTGTTTTTCAACGAAAGTCCCTTCGGAATTAGCTCAGCCTATTTGGAATTTACCCACGACTAACAAACAGATGGATATTGAAAAGCGTGGTTGGTTTTTATCTAAGTGCTATTTACCAAATTGCTTTAAAAAAAAAACTGTGTTTCGAAATTACAGATACATATTTTGTATCCAATTTAATTTTCTATTAAAAGGCACTTGCGTGAGCTTGGGGTTTTTGTGTTCTTGACAGTACGTGCGTGAAGGATTTAAAAGCAATTATTGACATGGGATTTATCTATATATATAAAAATGAATTGCTATTCGTTAGTCTCGCTAAAACTCGATTTGGCTAATTTTGGTTTTGAATTATTCGTGGAAGTCCAGGGAAGGTTTAAAAGATAGATAAAATAAGGTAGATAAAAAAGGTAGATAAAAAAGTTAGATAAATATGAAAATGCTCGGAATTAAATAAAAATAACAATTTTCTTTTATTTCCTTTTGCTTGTTTTAAGTTTATTTTATACAAAAGTTTAGGTCTTTTATATTATATCGATTGAGGCATTACGAAGTCTGCCGGGTCAACTAGTAGTTTTAATAAATTGCTAGTGTCTTGGCAAATGTGGGAGTTTGGTTACAAGCTTCACAATACATTTTGTTGTTTTTAGCTTCTTTTTTACTAACACACTTTTATTAGCTAGGTTTGACTTTATAAGCCCATTGGCTATATCTATCTATGAATCTTTCAACTCGATCGTCAGCAAATTTAAGACCGGAGCAACTTGAAAATTGGCGTACTCATCAACAATCGATGATACTATAATTTTATTATTACTTTATCTTAACATAACCCAATTAAAAGACAAAACCTTTTTTATTTGTTCTGTTGGTATTTCTATTTAAGTGTATTTTTCCAGAAGCCAGTTTCTCAGTGTGTTTATTTATTTAAGTATTTTTATTAAATTTTGTATTTGTTACATGCTTACATCTCCATATTATTTATGCGTAATTCATCACGTTTTTTATTCGTTTATTTTGTCATGTTTTCATCGGAAGGCTCTTTAAAATAAATAAATAGATACACTATTACATGATTTTGTCGTGAAGACATAAAACCGATTTCAGCATAAGGTTTTCCACTGACTGCGTTGGAATTATCTTCAGATAAAGCTATTCCAAGCAGGCTGGACGCCGCTACACGTCGCCTCCTCCTGCGTCCGCCGACACTGCACCAGACTCTTGTTGGCGGCTGGTGCAAATCCCAACATCTGCGACGTGGCTGGCCGAACTCCTTTAGACGTCGCCGGCTACGCTTATTATCACAAAAAAGAAGTGAACGTTAAGCAGTAAGATATTATTAATACGCTTTTCAATTAGCTTCAGACGTACGTATGTTATTATGTAACGGAATTTTTGAACGTGATTTTGAACCCCTTCAAAACGTCGGATTAACTCGAAATTTGGTATACTTATTAAGGACCGATGATAATTCAATATTTAAACATGATAATTGAAAAAAAATATTGAAAAAATTGAAATTCAGCTAAAAATTGAAAAATAAATAATATGTAGTTTGAAAAAACTAACAAAATACGCTTTTACGGGGTGCTTTTCAGGATATTTTCAAAATAACCCTTCTACTCATAAAATATTTATAACTACTGATACCATGTACCCCACGATTTTTTTTACAATAAAATAATTTTTTTTACACTATTTTTAATTCTAATTTATTAAAATTAATTTTCTATTTTTTAAGTTGGATTTTCTATAAAAGCGTACTTTGTTAGTTTTTTTTAACTATTATTTATTTTTGGACTGCTGTTCAATCCTGCTGAGGGCCCATCTGATGACAATGGGTTTTTTGTTTTACTTCGTTTGAAGAAAGACAATGACATGTCATTGTCAGGAAATACTAAGGAGAGAAGCTAACTTAAAGCTAACTAAAGCCGGATGGTCCGTGGCAGAACGGCCGTCCGTCCGTTTAGCGGTAGGCAGCGGCTTGGCTCTGCCCCTGGCATTGCTGAAGACCATGGGCGACGGTAACCACTCACCATCAGGAGGGCCGTAAGCTCGTCTGCCTACAAGGGGAATAAAAAAAAAAGATCTCTGGAAACGTTTTGTGAATGAATGCGATAGTGAAAACGAGATGTGAGGATCATCTCAAAACAATGGTAGATCTTGTTATGAGATTTATATACCTTCAATTGAAGACCACAAAACAGAATATAAAGAATCCAAAGTAATAATGCATTTATGAAACACTAAATGTCGGTATGCATTTTGGCTATGGCTCCTTGCATTTCTGAAGTCAATGAGCTTCGGCTACTATTCACCATCAAGTGGTCCGTAGGCTTGTCTGCATTAAAACAGTACAATTAAAACCATTTTCATGATTGTTTTTTTTTGAAATTACTTATAAAGTTTGATACGAAACCGTGATGACGTGTCCTTAAGCATTAACAAAGCAACTTCTTCCGAAACCAGCTTAGGTGAAGTCATCAGAATGCTACTGAAGGCTGGTGGGAGATATAACACCATGAGATCTCGTGGTCTAAGCAACCTGGATACTCCTCTTCATACTGCGGTAGAGCTAGAAAGCTTGGATGCTATCAGAGAGCTTTTAGATGCAGGTGCTTCTGTGAACTGCTTAAATACATCGGGCTTGACACCTTTGCATGTCTGCGTCAAGAAAAAACTTGAGGAGCATTTGCAGGTATGATGGTTTAGATATTTGGGACTTTCACTGGTGGGTGTCACTATTCTGGATATTCCTGCTGCTAAGCAATGCATTCTGGTTTGATGGTAGCCGTCGTACAATTCTGTTGAGGCCTCATATCTTAAGGCGGTGGTGGTGTGGATGGTGGCATTCGCATCGGGATGCTGGTCCCCAAAGACTACCCCACAATTGACAGAAATTCTAAAACATTCGGTTCGAAATTTTTCATTCATCTTCAGTTGTACAATAATCTTCTGGCTTTGAGCAGAATGACGGGATGAGAATACGCAGTTGGAATAGAGTTTGTTTTTCTATATCTCTTTTTTGTGTTTTTATTAAGTGATGATTAAATAAAAAATAGAAAGTCAAGTACAAAATAATTAAACGAATCATAAAATGTGAACAAATGCGAATAAAGTTGCAAATGAATTTCTGGAATATTAGAGTTGATTTTAATGTAAAAAACAATTGCAGGTATTAGCAAACTATGATTACATGAACGCAGATCCTATGGCAGCCGTAGTGGACGTGAAGGACAGTCAAGGGCATACAGTCCTACAGGCTGCTGTCGAGGCTGCGTGGGTGCCAGGTGTCTGTGTGGCATTGGAAGCAGGCGCTGACGTTACGCTGACGGTAAATAGTGTGACGCTTTCTCTTTGCCTCGTTGGTATATCTGATGATGAGCAACTGTACCAGAACTTTAGTGAAGAAAGGAATCTTACATATACCGGAAAATTAAAGTTTTGTAGTCTTGAAGAATTAATTAATATTGACTAAGTTCTTAAATACAGTGGACACAAAGCTTAAAAACCACGGCAAGAATCAAAAATATTTTATATATTATTCAATTTCTTTTCTTAGATGTTTCTTGACCACTTAATTGTAGTCTGAAAGCTATTGCTCTTAGCAATAATATCGGCCATTGTACCTTTTCTCTTTTACTTTGCTTTTTTTTTATTGCTTAGATCGGTGGTTGAGCTCACAGTCCACCTGGTGTTAAGTGGTTACTGGAGCCCATAGACATCTACAACGTAAATGCGCTACCCACATCGAAATATAAGTTCTAAGGTCTCAAGTATAGTTACAACGGCTGCCCCCAACCTTCAAACCGAAATGCATTACTGCTTCACGGCTGAAATAGGTGGTACCTACCCGTGCGGACTCACAAGAGGTCTTACTACCAGTAAAGTAATTTGTATATTAATATACTCTACCCTACTCTACTCGTCTTATTTAATTTTAGGCCAACGACGGCGAAACTCCTATTCATTCGGCCGCAGCTCTCGGTAACTTAGACGTGCTCAACGAAATCCTTAGCGTTGCTAAGCAAAAAGACGCGATCGACTATCAGAACCAAGAAGGCGAGACCGCTCTCTTCAAGGCCATAATTCACGGACATTTAGAATGTGTCAAACACATCATTAGCGAAGGTGGCTCCATGAAGATCGCACTACCCGGCGATGTTAACGTCTTACACGTCGCAGCCGATTACGGGCAATTAGATATACTAGAGTATTTACTAGATTACGACGAAGCTATGACTAGGAACTTGATTAACTCCCTAACAGCCGGAGATAGGAGAGGCTTCGGACCAATACACTTCGCGGTCGCGAACAAACACGAGAATTGCGTTTCCTTGTTACTTTCAAAAAACGCTGACATTCGACTCAGGACTACATGTAGTCCACATAAAGCATCAACTCCCTTGCACATCGCCGCTGTTCGTAATCACGTTGAAATAACTAAGATCCTGTTGAAATTCGATACGACCATCATATATGAAGTGAATAGTCTTGGTTGGTATCCGTTGCACGCGGCTAGCCATCACGGCAGCAGGGATGTCATAACGTTACTGCTGAAAGAGGGAGCCGATCTCTCAGGACATACGGACGGACCGAAGAAATACAAGCGAACGGCCATCGATATGATCATTCATAATTTATCGAAACCAACAGAATTTATGGAAGACGTATTCGACTCGTATATATCTAGTAACGGCCAGGACCTCCAGGATCCGAACTGTATTATCACGATTGATTACGGTATATTGATGCCGAGGGTCTGCGAGATGGAACAGATGAAAGTGATCGAGGCGCTTTTGAAGACCGGCAACAGATACGGACAGAGGAAGCTCCTGGTTCATCCGTTGGTCGAGAGCTTCCTGTATCTCAAATGGAAAGCTTTGTTGCCGTTCTTCTATACAATAATGTTCGTTTACGGATTCTTCGTGCTGTCGCTTACCATATTCATAGTGTCGGTTTTCTTTTACAAAGACACGAAAGTTCCTGCTCCTATTTGGCTGAACACGACGGTTTGGAGTTACGTAGTGTATGCGACAATCAGCTTGATATTGTTACAGGTGAGTTATACATGTAGTGGACTGTAGAATTAGGATGGGCAAGGAACTTGATAAATAAATTCGCGAAGATTGAACGTATAAGATTTTTATTTTTGGAAATTTTATAATTCGCGTACGAATAAAGAGAATGACAAATCTAAGACATTCCAAAATTCAAAAGTAATGTCAAAAACCACAACCATAACAATAAAAAGGTTTTGATATCAATTTGTTGGGTTGCCAACAATACACGCTGTCGCTCCTATGTAGCTACTGATATAACCGATTGGGGTATTGAAATTAAATAGCTTGCGGCTTTTACGGCCTGAATGCCATTAGATAGTTTAGTTTGGATAAGTTTACAAGGTATTTTCTGAAATTTGGTCCCGACAAACATTTGAAATTATTCGTAGTTAAAAAAGGCTTATAAATTTGATTAGTCGTATGTGTCGCGGTTCTGTAAAGTAGAAATAAAGCGTACCAAATATATGTGTGATGCGTTCTTTATCTATCCGCGTCTGCTGCAACACACGTGTGATAAACCCAATTTGAGCTGTAATCGAAGCAATTCCCACACGTGAAGAAGAACTTCACACTTTAACTTCTACTTGGCTAACGCAGCCTTGCAGTCGATGAGATTGGGAACAAAAATTGTCCAGAAATGAATATAAATTTGACTAGATCCTCCTCCTCGCGTCGTTTTCCTCATTACTGAAGGTTGTGACTCCCCCGCTGCATCCGTTTGTTCCGTACGATTTCCCTCCATCTGCTGCGATCCTTAGCCTCATGAAGGGCATTGTGGAAGTTGATATTTAGAGAAGATCGTATTTGGTCCGACCATCTCGTGGGACTGCGTCCACTGGGACGTTTGCCATCCACCTCTCCTGTCACTGTTCAAATTTGACCAGATAAGAAGGCGTAAATAAAATAAAGGCCAAATCACATAATATGCTCATCTGACCCTACACTATGCTTCCCTGTGCTCTTGGTACCATGGACCGATATACATACCTAGATATAAATATTCATTATAAACCTGTACAGATATTAAAGAATCTGGTAAAGACCAAATAAATTTATTCATCACAATGTTTGCATGATCTCCGAATCAAATCTACGGCCCTCGCTAGAACAGTCGCGGGCGCTAATTACTACGCCAACCGTAATAATCTACGGGCAGTTTTATTTATAGTATTCAAAAAATAATATATGACGGCGCCAGGGATGGCTGAGCGGCAGTTCCGTCATCAATTGTATTTGGTGGGACTGAGTTTATTGCAATAATTGTAAAGTCAATAAAACCTTTAGAAAAATAATTATTGAAACTCCCAACAAATAATTTTCACAATGACAGGGTAAGCCGACAGTTTCGTTTCAACTGACCGACTGACAGACTGACTGCCTGAGCCTGACTGACGACTGACTGCTTGAGCCTGACTGACAGACTGACTACCTGAGACTGACTAACAGACTGACTGCCTGAGCCTGACTGATAGACTGACTGCCTGAGACGACTGACAGACTGGGCCTGACTGACAGACTGACTGCCTGAGACTGACTGACTGCCTGAGACTGACTGACAGACTGACTGCCTGAGCCTGACTGAGAGTACTGAGACGACTCTGTCCACGTACCGCCATTTTATATTCTGGCGTTACGGCGTCTACCCTAAATTTTTGTGATATTTATCAAAACAAAATTTGATCATTTAAATTTTAAAATAATAATCAAAACAATGTCTTAATGTTACTAAAGTCGTTATCCCGTACGACGAGTTAAATTCATTATTTTTTCCCAGGAGGTCCTGTATATGAACGTGAAGAGTAGTAGGTACTTCCTACAGCTGGAAACTTGGGTGAAATTCGGGTCTCTGGGCTTAGCGGTTATACTACCGTATTCAGTGGTGGTCGTCTCTGTACACGAGGCTGATTGGCCTCGACACGTGGCCACCGTGGCGTTGTTGCTCTCCTGGTTGGAAATGATGTTCTTGCTCTCAAGGTTTCCGAACTGGGGTTACTATGTTTTGATGTTCGGTAAAGTCGCTTCGAATGTCGTCAAGGTAATAACTATTAAATTAATTATCGGTATAGTATTTTGAAGTCGTCGTGGCCTAAAGGATAAGACGTCGAATGTCCTGTTCGAATCCCGCAGGCGGGTATAAATTTTTCTAATGAAATACTTACTTAACGAATGTTCACGACTGACTTCCACGGTGAAGGAATAACATCGTGTAATAAAAATCAAACCCGCAAAATTATAATTTGCGTAATTACTGGTGGTAGGATCTCTTGTGAGTCCACCCGGGTAGGTACGACCACTCTACCTATTTCTGCCGTGAAGCAGTAATGCGTTTCGGTTTGAAGGGCCGTTGTAACTATACTGAGACCTTAGAACTTATATCTCAAGGTGGGTGGCGCATTTACGTTGTAGATGTCTATGGGTTCCAGTAACTACTTAGCACCAGGTGGGCTGTGAGCTCGTCCACCTATCTAAGCAATAAAAAAAAAACATAAATTATGCCATTGGTATTTCATGCAATATAATTATTACAGATACACTTGTGTAACAGTTTTTGAGTGCTACATTAATTTTGATAAGATCCAATGATAAATCTAAATGAATAAGAGATTATTGTGAAACTTAAATCATTCAAATTATTACAGATTCTGCTTACATTTGCCTTCCTTGTAATTGGGTTCGCATTAAGCTTCATGATCCAGTTCCGCTCTCAAATGCCTTTCGAGGGTCCCTGGGCAGCTCTGGTTAAGACAATAGTTATGATGACATCAGAATTCGACTACGCGGCCCTCTTCGACGAAGCACATTCCAAAGAATTGGCCACGTCTTTGATTATAGTCCGGATAATATTTTTAGTGTTTCTAATATTGGCGGCGATTGTTCTAATGAATTTACTAGTCGGTGTAGCGGTTAACGATATCAATGATTTAGAGATATTAGGGAATATAAGGAGGCTGGCCAAACAAGTAGAATTTTTGGGAACATTAGACACTTTAGTTTACAATAAATTATTCAGTAAGACTTTACCGAGAAGACTCAATGAGAAACTTAAGAAAAGACGTAACGTACCACCGGTTATGACTCTGAGTCCCGGGAAACCAAGGTGGAAGTATTCTAAGGTGCTGCCATCCAGGATAAGAGATGAAATATTCAATAAAGCTCAGAGACAAAAGAAGCAAATGGACGATGAGCTTGGCCTCCAATACTTTAGGAATTTAATGGATGAAATGCACGATGTCATCGTTAAAAACAAAGTCGTGAAAGCTGTAGAATATCCGGATTTGATTAAAGATAAAAATGTTAAGAAGAACGATGAAATAGTACAACATTTAGATGACATTGATGATGCAGTGGAGGATATGAAGAATGAGGCGAAAGTGTATGCGACAGAATCGAAGTCGAAATTTGAAATTTTAAACGTTAAAATGGATCAGATGTCGCTAGAAATCGAAGCTATAAAATTGTTTTTGAGCAGATTAGAAAGTAAATTGGGTAGATAATCGGTGTTACAATTTTTTAAACCGTTTTTGTAATTGCCAAGGAGTTGTTAAAAAATAGAATAAAGTATTAAGTTATGACAAAAAAAAAACATAGTGTTTTAAGTATTTAACCCTTCAAACCATAGGTCGAGGCTTTGCTAGTTTATTAAACTTTTTGGGATTTTTGAATAGAAACCTTTTTGATGAAAAATAATCTCAGTGAATATCCTGACTAAATGTCTTATTAAGGACCTTCACTTCTACAACTTTACAGTCAACGACATAATGTATAGATTCCGTTCAAATGTTATTTTTTTGTGCGAAATATCATGTAATTTTCGCAAAAGTCTGTGTTTTATTAAACATAAGTCTTCTTCAAGGTGTGAAGTACCATTCTCTTCTATTAAATATTGCAGTCATTACGGATCCTCCCAATCCATTAACGGTGCTTTTAGGTACCACAAGCACCGGTCACCGTCCTCGTCGAACCCGTCGCTTGCGACGAAGGGATCGACGAGTGAATTAACCCACAGACACAGCCCACTGAGTTTCTCGCCGGATCTTTTCAGTGGATCGCATTTCCGATCCGGTGGTAGATTCTGCGAAGCACTGCTCTTGCTAGGGCCAGTTTTAGCATCACTCCGGTTTGAGCCCCGTGAGCTCACCTACACGTTAGGGCGAAAGTGATATAGCCTCTCAAGGCTATCAGCATAGGTAGGATCAAAAAAAGATTGCATACTTTATACTAATTCTAATTTAATTCTGTTTGGGATAACGACCAACGATTCTCATTATCGCTTGTTTTTTTTTTAATTCAACTCTACAAATACAAAGCTACAGAATGTCTGCTACAATTCAGGGCACGTTTCGACCTTAAACGTCCAGCACAATCGGAGCCCCGTTTTCCGTTACGATCTCACTTCAGTAATTACCGCTTACAGTCCAAGTGGAATTGGTTAATTTTGTTCAGTTCAACAGAGCCAATTTTTGTATACTGTATTCAACAGTTCTATCGGCTCCGGCATGAGTTCTATGATTTGTTATGATAGTTGGTTTCGTTAATACGTGACTTTAATATAAATGTGTATGTATGTAATTGCTTCGTTTATGATGATAAATTCGGGGGATACTTGAGCTGTAGCTTCGTGTTGAAGGCAGGGGATTTTGATGTTATCGTTGGTTTTAGAGACTGTGCCTCTTTCTGAAATACATTTATTAGTTTGATCACTATGAAACGGAAGTTTTAATTTTCATTCGCTTAATACTTCATCGGCCTAAAGGTAAGACGTCCGCTGCATTCGTGTTGAGCGATGCACCGGTGTTCGAATCCCAGGCAGGTACCAATATTTCTAATGAAATACGTACTCAGCAAATGTTCACGATTGACTTCCACGTTGAAGGAATAACATCTTACTGGTGGTAGGACCTCTTGTGAGTCCGCGCGCCACCACCACCCCGCCTATTTCTGCCGTGAAGCAGTAATGCGTTTCGGTTTGAAGGGTGGGGCAGCTGTTGTAACTATACTTGAGACTTTAGAGCTTATATCTCAAGGTGGGTGGCGCATTTACGTTGTAGATGTCTATGGGCTCCAATAACCACTTAACACCAGGTGGGCTGTGAGCTCGTCCACGCATCTAAGCAATAAATAAAAAATAAAAACATCGTGTAATAAAATTCAATAGGTATTAAGTAGTCACCGGAGACAGCACCGCAATTGCCACCACCCATCTTCAGACATGAGTTCTAAGGTTTCAGTTTTTGCAATACAGTTGCTCCGTCTTTCGAACGAATACGCATTGCGAACGTTAGAAATAGGCAGGATGGTGGTACTTACCCGTGTGGACTCACAAAACGTCCTACCACTAGTAAATCTGTGGGCAGGGGTCACGCGAATCTACTCTCTATCTTTCCAATTTTACTATACGTACCGCCGAAATAGGTCCTCAGAAACTGTAGGTTTTTTTTTATACTTTAGATGTTGGACGATCTCTCAGCCCACCTGGTGTTAATGGTTGCTGGAGCCCATAGACATCTACAACGTAAATGCGCCACCCACCTTGAGATATCAGTTCTAAGGTCTCAGTATAGTTACAACGGCTGCCCTACCCTTCAAATCGAAACGCATTACTGCTTCACGGTAGCAATAGGCAGGATGGTGGTACTTACCCGTGTGGACTCACAAAATGTCCTACCTCTAGTAAATCTTTGGTCACACAAATCTACCCTCTATCTTTCCAATTTTACTATACGTACCGCCGAAGCGGGTCCTCGGGAACTGTAGGTATTTATTTTAAAATAACCTCCCGTGGGCGTTACGCATTTACTGAGGTTAGAAACCGCACGTCGATTCCCGCCAAAGCTTCGACGTCAACACAACATTTCCATTAACTTAAAGATCATTACCATGCCTCTAGTACTCAATCATTTCACGTTCTTCCCCGCTAATTACTAATACTCACGAGCTGAGTTTGTGTGGTTCCACGTAATTAACTAATTAAACTTAACATTACACATATTTTAGTGCACATTATGAGTTAATTCTCCTGTCAATCCTGCCTATTTCGGCTGTGGAACAGTGATGCGTTTCGGTTTGAAGGGTGGAGCAGCCGTTGTAACTATACTTGAGACCTTAGAACTTATATCTCAAGATGGGTGGCGCATTTACATTGTAGAAGTCTATGGGCTCCAGTAACCATTTAACACCAGGTGGGCTGTAAGCTCTTCCACTCATCTAAGCAATAAAAAAATTTTTACGGTGAAGTTTTTGCGGAAGTTTTCGCTGCTTTAACATATTACTATGCCAATAAATGGTAATTGGTACGCAAAGATAAACAGTCCACTTCGATTGAATTCAAATCAAATGTCAGTGTCAAAGGTAGAGTAGTTTTTTTTTTCGTATAACCAAAATCGAATGTCTCCGAACTTCACTGAGTCGAGAGTAATGGAGGGACGTTTAGAGGTAGCGTCTTTGAGTTCGCGGTGTAAACAAATCAAAACACAATGGACCTTCGATTTCTCAACTCCAGCTTGGTTAATAGAATAAAAAATACTTTATTGTATTTAGGCACATCAAGTGACGAAAATGCATTTTTCTTGTTTTTTTTTGTTACTTATGTAGGTGGACGAGCACACCTCGTGTTAAATAGTTATCAGAGTCTGGACACATCAACAACTACTGCCGCCAACCACCTTGAGATGTTTCTAAATCTTCAAAGCATAAATAGGTAGGGCGGTGGTACTTGTTTAGAGCAATTCTAAACATGAAGTTTGTATAGCTATTTTTTGAATTTTGAAATAGAATAATAATTTTGACAACACAGTCATTTGTAAGTCAATCAACAATTCAGGTCGCACGTGCACGTGTTGTAACTACATTAAAATTAAATAAAAATAACCTTCTCTCTGAATATATCGAATTACTGAAGCGACCAGCACAAATTACAGCCCACGCTCTACACAGTGCTTACCTCTATGAGTTCATAAGACAACCCTACCAGTAATTACACAAATTATATTATTATTTTTACGTTCAATTTTTAATGACTTTATTTTGGGAAGTCATTCGTGAGCATGCGTTAAGTAAGTATTTTTTACATGCAAATTTTACATGAAGTGCAATAAATAAATTAAACAAATAAAATAGTTTCGTTTTCATCCCATCATATCATATAACTGTAAACCTACAAAAATGAATAAGCAGCTGTCAAAAACTTCACTACAGTCTAACACGAACAAAAAGCGTCATTAACACGAGATCAAATTGTAAATAATATCATTGGTTTTGATTAAATTTCAGATAGCACGGGGCGTGGTGCAAGACATAAAATCCGGTCTGGTTTTGTGAGCGAATACAAATGACCTCAAAAAAATCGTCAATAATTCATTCGTGTTTTAGGGATGGAAGCGACATCAGAGGACCACTGGGAAAACCTTGGTGATATTAATTAGGGTTGATATCAATGCGCTACTTCCGGAACCACTGTCCCATGATAACTACTGCGATCTGAAGTCGCCGATGCAACAACGACTTCTTCCTACACGAGTAGTAGATAGCCGTGTCATCGGCGTAGAGCGCTAGATGGGTCTCCGGAGACCGGGGTATATCATTGATATACAAACTAAATAATAATGGGGAGAGCGCGGAGCCTTGCGGGACTCCGGCAGTCAGTTGACGGGGACGAGAACGAGTTCCCTCTACTCGATATCGAAACGAACGGTTCGACAAGAAGTCTCGTATGATGAGCACGAGTCTGTCTGGCACTCCCATGTTGTACAGTTTGTAGATCAAACCGTTGTGCTAGAAGACTTTGTCGAACGCCTTCGCTATATCGAAGAAGAGGGCTCCGGTCGGGATTGGTTCCCGCCTATTTAGCCCTATAAAGACATGCTCCGTGAGGCGGTGCACTTGTTGTATGCACGAGTGTTTGGCGCGGAACCCAAATTGCTCGTCTATTAATATTTTGTTTTCGGTAATGAAGTCCTAGAGGCGTTTCCGAAAAAGACGTTCGTAAATTTTGCTTATCGCTGGGAGGATACTAATCGGACGGTAAACCGTAGCGAGACGGAACCGCTTGTATATCTCCGTCCGTGAACCAAAAAAAGTGAGAGATGTCAAGTCGCGAAGGCACCGTGGTACTGGTGGTAGGACCTCTTGTTTACTGGTGGTAGGACCTCTTGTGAGTTTACTGGTGGTAGGACCTCTTGTGAGTCCGCACGGGTAGGTACCACCACCCTGCCTATTTCTGCCGTGAAGCAGTAATGCGTTTCGGTTTGAAGGGCGGGGCAGCCGTTGTAACTATAATTGAGACCTTAGAACTTATATCTCAAGATGGGTGGCGCATTTACGTTGTAGATGTCTATGGGCTCCAGTAACCACTTAACACCAGGTGGGCTGTGAGCTCGTCCACTCATCTAAGCAATAAAAAAATAAATAAAAAAAAAACCGTCGAATCGCGACCAGTGTTGCCGTGTTGAAAACTCAAAAAACCCACAGATCGGTTTCGAACAAAATTAGTCTCATAAAATCTTTATTGGTTTACTCATTTACATCGATCTGTAACAGATCGCTTTGCAAGCTTCC